TTGTTGTTGTTGTTGTTGTTATTTTCTTATTTAATATAACTGCACACTTTCATATGTTCATGTAAAGCTGAGGAGCACGAGCTAAATAATTTTATTGTGGGTAAATGTGGCTACACTGTTTATCTTTATATGACAATAAAACTTGAAACTTGAAACTATTGTAGAATGACTTCTCTAATTCATAGGTTATGGATTTCATGGCACTTTATGTATCTTCTACCTATATATCTCTAGTTTCTGTGAACCATAAGGGCTGTCTTCTACTTACCTAGCACTGTGAGACTGATGGTACTCCAGTGGTACCGTGGCCCAGTCTTGACTTTGCAGCTGTACTCTCCTGAGTCTGTCAGTGACAAGTCACTGATGAGCAGAGATGCGTCGCCTTTTAAGTACTCTCCAGCAAAAGCTACACGACCGCGTTGTCCTTCATTGGGGTCAAAAACTCTTCCAGAAAAGTAGGTAATCACCTGGTAGGAGGATGTGAAACAGGTGGGTAGTAATGGTAGTGGTTTTGTAACATGTCATGCAAGATAATGCATATATAGAGGAACAACAATGTCCAGTTTATCTACAACAATGAGCAAATATATCAGAGAGAGAGTCAAACTATATGTGCTTAAGAATTTTAATATATATGTTTTTAATTATTTGAAAAAAAATTATTTAAAAATGGAAGGATGCTGATAAAACACTGCTTTGTTGAGCCTCTGCATGCTACCAATGTCAAGGACCCAATGTTGCCATTTCTTTGTTTGATTGCCTGGAGTAGGGTTACACAAAAACTACCATACTGAATTTCATGAAATGTAGTGGACAGGTAGACCATGTGGAGAGGAAGAAATCCTTTTAAATGTTGGTGAGGATGAGGAAGGTTCTGGAAAAATATCAGGTTTTAATGTGTTTGATTGCAGAATTTGCATCATAGAACAGCGAGCTGTTGGCTATGAACAGATCTTTGAAATGCTCTTTATTTTCTGTCGGTGCATTTAACAAGACAATGCAAAATACATTAATTGCAACAGCTATGGATAAATGCTGTTTTCCATTTACAAAAGGTATGCACTCTTTTGTAGTTTTTTGTACTACAAAATCGCTGAAATAGTTTTATATAGAAAAACTACTATAACTACAACTTAACTCATACAACCTTTGTGTGAAACTTTTCATGATGCCTAGAAAACCTGTGCAACTGAAAAAATTCAAAGTAACTTAAATATTAAAATATTAATTTAAAAAAATATTAATAAAAATAATATTTTACTAAAATAATAGTTTAAAATGACTATGAGACTATGGAAGAGAACAGGTAACAGTAGGTTTGTTGTTGTCAATCCAAAATGGGTAGTGAACCTCATGCATTGAGAGACACATACCACTCTCTGCCTGTTGGTTGGCTTGAGGAGCAGCCACTCAATGTCCAGAGTGGGATGATCACCAACCCAGAAGTGATGGTGGCAGGGCAGCGTGGCATTGTCTCCAACAACCCTCTTCATCACTGTCTGGGCACATGTCATTAGCACACCCAGCAGAACTGTAGAGATACAGGCTTCTTCAAGATCATTGTTCACTGCATCAGATATCAACATAAATATAATAAATAATAAACATTCATGAATCCTAGACAGAAATGTGATTTGAAGATATAGACATTTAAAAGTGCTTGCATACTTTTTGTTCTTAGTCCTTATTGTAAAATCTGAAAATGAACAGGAGTGTCTATTCAAAGAAAA